ACCTCCCCTTTTCTTTTCTTTCTCCCCCACTCCAATCTTTCCCCGCTTCTTCCTTTTTTGTTCCAAAGCCCAACAGTAGTGAAAAATAAAGAAAAACAATAGATTTTGTCAAAAAAATTGTCAATCCTTTCTTTCACATTAACTCTCTCTCCCCTTTTTGTATCGATCTCAAATTGGAAGACAGCAAGAGAAAAAAGAAAGACTATCGGAAAATGGACGAATTTTGGTCGGAAATTCAGGTGTTTGTCCAGATTTTCTTACCATAATTGCTTTTCCTATCTCATGAAGGAAAGGACAACATATTTACCATGATTGGGTTTTTCTTTTCCTAGAAGGAAAATATAATTCTTCCAGATTTGGCTAGTCCCTTTTCTTGTAGGAAAAGGTTTGGAGTTCTATAAATTGAGGATCCTTCCTTCTTATTCAGTAGCATCCACAATGTAGCCATATGAGGTTTGAGAGTCGTGTTTAGGGGGGAAACTTTACGGGACAAGTGTTAATATGTCACTTGTGTTTGCCTCTTTGTGAGATTGTTCTCTCGATATTTTGTACTCTTTTTTTTATATAGTGGATTGCTCATCTCCGCTTGTGGACGTAGGTCAATTGACCGAACCACGTTAAATGTTTGTGTCTCTTTTGGTAGATTTCTCTTTTGCTATCAGATTTATCGTCGTTCAAGGTTTGCGTTGATTACTAGCTTCCGCATGACACCTGATTATTCCGGTCCTCACAAGTGGTATTAGAGCGAGGTCCAAGACAGGTTCATCTTGGCGGGTTCAGTTCTAGCTGCAACATATTTGACGATAATCATGATTTTTGTCTGAGAAATTTTTCCGGAGTGCTACGCACGTTGAGACAAACTTTGTGGCGGAGATTTGGAGATGCGAGGCTATGTGAAGAAGGTGGATCAAGTTTATTTTGTCAGACAATTCATGCCAAGGGGGGAGAATTGTTAGGTATTTGTCCAGATTTTCTTACCATAATTGGTTTTCCTATCTCATGAAGAAAGGACAACATATTTACATAATTGGGTTTTTCTTTTCCTATAAGGAAAATATAATTCTTCTAGATTTGGCTAGTCCCTTTTCTTGTAGGAAAAGGTTTGGAGTTCTATAAATTAAGGATCCTTCCTTCTCATTCAGTAGCATCCACAATGTAGCCATATGGGGTTTGAGAGTCGTGTTTAGGGTGAGAATTTTAGGGGACAAGTGTTAGTGTGTCATTTGTGTCTGCTTCTTTGTGAGGTTGTTCTCTCTATATTTTGTTATCTTTTTTTTTTATATAGTGGATTGCTCATCTCCGCCTGTGGACGTAGGTCAATTGACCGAACCACGTTAAATATTTGTGTCTTTTGGTAGATTTTTCTTTTGCTATCTGATTTATCGTCATTCAAGGTATGCGTTATTAGCTTTCGCATGACACCCGACTTTTCCGGTCATAAGAAATTTTACTTATGCAATCCGACTTTNAACCACCTACATCCATTTAAAGAAGTAGCGCCCCCGACAAAAGGGACGTTAGTACCATGGAATAGTACTAGTATGTATAACTAAACACCATCTCATTAGAAAGAACTATCATACAAGAACAAAGAAATCATAAACACCATCTCAATAGAAAGAACTATCATACAAGAACAAAGAAATCATAAACACCATCTCAATAGAAAGTACTATCATACAAGAATAAATAAATACTAAGGGAAATCAAAAGCTTTAAACAGACACCACATCATCAAACAAAAGAATCATATAACTTTCACATAATTTCCATAGCTTTAGGTTGGGGCATTTGATACTGTTCATCACCATTCATAATACCACCACTTTCTTGAGCGGAGTCCGATCACGACCCGATCGGCTAAGTTGCCTCATTTGAGACATGTACCTCAATCACAATCTCATTCTCATTTTCCGGAATTCAATATCAGCACAATACCACCATGTGTGCGGCATGATGTTCGATCACGGCCCGATCGGCTAACCGTCTTACCAGACGTTGTTCCTTTTTCATTAATCATCTCATTTCAATCTTTATTTCACATATATCAATTCATAGGCACTTGGACCACAATTATCACATCATACTTGGATTCAGTAGCATCCACAATGTAGCCATATGGGGTTTGAGAGTCGTGTTTAGGGTGAGAATTTTAGGGGACAAGTGTTAGTGTGTCATTTGTGTCTGCTTCTTTGTGAGGTTGTTCTCTCTATATTTTGTTATCGTTTTTTTTTTATATAGTGGATTGCTCATCTCCGCCTGTGGACGTAGGTCAATTGACCGAACCACGTTAAATATTTGTGTCTTTTGGTAGATTTTTCTTTTGCTATCTGATTTATCGTCATTCAAGGTATGCGTTATTAGCTTTCGCATGACACCCGACTTTTCCGGTCATAAGAAATTTTACTTATGCAATCCGACTTTTTCTCTCTTTCTGATTTAAATATTCGTATCCTTCTTTGACATAGCTTCGCCGGCTCCTTCTTTGACATAACAAATAAAGGAGCTACATGGTATGGGGTTCAATAGAATTTTTTCGCAGGAATATTACATGATACTGTACATATAGATGATAATTTTTTAAAAATGGATATTTATAAATTTTTGAATACCCTTTAAATAATATGAAACGCTTCTAGTATACCACCATCATCGTAAAAAGTTGAAATTTGTCTAAATTTAGTTGAACGCTAATGTATGTGCCCCACCGGTGCCCAAGATTTCACGATGAGTGGCTCTATATACCATATGTAAAAGCTCAATCCACGACTTTTAAAATGGGACATTAGGATCTTAGACTTATTGCTAACTTATATTCCAAACATCTTTTTTGTGATTTGTCTATTGAGTTTGCTTAAAGGTTATTACCTCATACAATCATAAATTCATAAAAAGCGGATTAGGATCTTTGAAAATAAAATATAGTATTGTTAAGATATACTAATAGTAGTTAAAAAAATTTACACTATTAGGATATGTAAAATAAATTTTACCTATATTGACACAAGAATATTGGGAAACTAGCTTAGGATTAGACCAGAAAGACAAATTTAGTCTACAATGAGCTAGCCGGTGCATGCTTTTTCCTTTTTTGTGGTTTCTCCTGTATTTTATTTGTTTGAATTATCTTGGAATTCCACTAAGAGTAAAATGGGAGAATTATATTAAAGTGTCCAAGCATGAAAAGAATCAATTGTTTTTAAACATAAAAATTCATGTCTTACCTATAATGAAAATCTTGGGTATATTCATCACCCCTTCCCATTAGGGACATTACATATAAAATATTTGCTGATCAGCAGCGCTAAACAAGAAAGATTCAAAGAAATGTAAAATTCTTCTAATACTATAAGCTTGAATTTAGAACCTAAAAAAAGGGGTAATAAAAGAAAAAGGAGCAATGTTTAATGTAATTAAGACGTACGTACTATAGAGCATTATTATGGTTATTATCTTGGGACTGACCAATATCATCACAAAAATGGAGGAGCTTCTGTAAAATGAAGACTTGAGTTCTGAGAAGAAC